AGCTTACAGGTGGCCATTTTAACTAATCCATTTATTTTAATTTTTTAATTTATTTTTGGATTTTTATTCCGCTCTCCCCAAACGTGCTCAGGGCAGATCACAAAAAATCGAGTCAAAGACTCGTTACAATAAAAGCACATTAAAACCATAAAAACAATAAACAATAAAACTGATAGTAGCAATATAAATCTGTTAGGGCCACAAGGTGGAATCAGATGGGCCCTTTCAGCAGGTTGGGAAACTAAAGCAAGGAGGCCAACTGTGATGGAGCCCACCGCCTCAACCGAAGTTTGCAGGCCTTGTAGAATGATAAAAGGTCCCGCAGGGTCCTGCTCTCCAGTTGGAGCTGATTCCACCAGGTCGGGGCCAGGGCAGAAAAGGCCCTGGTCGAGGCTAAGTGGACATCCTTTGGGCCCGGGGTAACCAGTAAATGCTGGTCCTGTGAGTGCAAGGCTCTTCGGGGCACATATGGCAAGAGGCAGTCCTTCAGATATGTCAGTCCCAGGCTAGGTACAGCTTTGAAGGTTAATACCAACACCTTGAAATGGACCCAGTACTTAATTAGTAGCCAGTGCAAGTGGCACAATACCGGCTGAATGCATGCCCGCACAGGTGATGCCGGCAGCAGGCATGCTGCCACATTTGGGACTACTTGGAGTTTCCAGAATCAGTCTCAGGGGCAATCTTGTGTAAAACGAGTTACACTAATCAAGCCTGGAAGTGACCGTTGCATGGGTCACAGTAGCCAAGTCCGGTCCGGGGGGGAGAGGTAGGGGGCCAATAGCCTAATCTGCCAGAGATAGAAAAAGGCAGACCTGGCAACTGCGGTGATCTGGGCCTCCATAGAAAGTGAGGCATCCAGGATCACCCCCCAGGCTCCTCACTTTCTGGGGCAGTGCAAGTGGCATACCATCCAGGGCGGGCAGCCCAATCCCCGTCCTAACTCCACCACCACCCCAGCTCAGGTACAGCCGTCCAAAAACAGATAGAGTTGGGTGTCATCTACATATTGATGACACTCCAACCCAACCCCCCCGGACCAACTGGGCGAGGGGGCGCATGTAGATGTTAAACAACATTGGCGAGAGGATCACCTCCTGTGGCTAGGCTTGCCAAGTCCCCCCGGGGGGCTGGGAAACCCCCGCCCCAGAGGCCACCATCTGAGGGAAAACTCTATGGTTTTCCCTCAGATGGTCATGGCCCCGCCCCCAGCGTGTACTGCGTGATCGCATCACTTCCGTGTGACATGGATGCGGCCGTGTCAAACGCCACCATCAGATTTAACAATAACAGCAGCACTGACCCACACCAATCCAGGTGCTTCTGGAGATCATCCGTAAGGACGACCAGCACCGTCTCCATCCCATGACCAGGGTGGAAAACGGACTGGAAGGAGTCAAGGATAGATGCGTTATTGAAGAAAGCCTGGAATTGTTCAGCCTCCGCTCTCTCAACTACCTTATCCAGAAACAGTAAATTTTAAACTGGGCGGTAGTTAGCTAGAACCATTGGGTCCAGAGTTGGTTTCTTTAAGAGTGGACGAACCACTGCCTCCTTTAACCCCCTGTTAAGCAGAAAACAGTCCAAAGGAAAAGGGTTAAAAACCTTCCCCTTCCCCAACAATTGTCCCAGCTGCTCTTCTCCTTTAAATTATAATATTAGCAGGTATATTTTACATATATAAAAAGAAAAATGTTCCATAATACTGTTTAATAACATTCTCTTATTTTTTATTTATTTTCGCATTTATATCCCACCCATCCCATAAACGGGCTCAGGGTGGGTTACAGCATTTTAATAAATACAATAAAATTTAAAACACATTAAAACATACCGTAGGGAGAATCTGGCCCATTGAAGTAACTGGGTATGGCCAGTTATCAGGTGGGAGATCACAACCTCGGGGTTTCAAAATGTAGTTTCCAAAACTGTATGGTAAAGTACATTTCTGCCTTGAAACAAATAATATTTCAGCATTAGTAAACCACATTTTACAATTTTGGGTATTGTTTTGTTTTATAGACCATGGCAAAGCAAGACCGTCCATATACACTAATCAATGTTATAGGAGGCATGGATGGAGTCTACAAAGACCATGTTGAGTTCCTGGAGAAACATCTTAAGCTTATCACCATGCAGGAATTTCTTGAAAATCAGCAAGATCTCAGTCAAAAAATCAAAGCAATTTATTTGTGGTTTAAAAAACCGGAAGCTACCAGGGAGCTCCTGCAAAGTTTGCCCAACTTAAAGGTGATTGCAAACTCTGGTGTTGGAGTGGATCATCTGGACTTGAAACTGATCTCCAGCTTCAGAGTGAAAGTGGCAAACACCCCATTTGCAGTTGCCAGTCCTACAGCTGACCTCGGGATGGCTTTACTGATGGCATCTGCTAGGAGGATCGTGGAAGGTACAACAGAGTTTCCCATTCAGCTTTCCTTTCAAAATACATTATAGTGTCACAGCTTGGGCCCAGTGCAGTGTTTCCACAGATGTAATGATTTCCACCAGGTGAGTGTGACTTTCTCACCTCCCTCTTCTCACTGTAGCCCTGTATCTCCATCCCCCCCCTCCTTTGGCCTCCAGGAGCAGCATTACAGGGGGGTATTTTGAGCTGCAACAGAAGGAGGGAGGTGAGAAAGTTGATTTCATGGTAATCATCATTACACCTGTGGAAATGTATAATAATCTATTTCAGGGGTGTCGAACTCATTTGTTATGAGGGCCGGATCTGACATAAATGAGACCTTGATGGACCGGGCCATGTGTGTCATAAAATGTAATGCCTGGTAGCAGAGATATAAACTTTATAAAGGAAACAAACACAAAGGGGTTTTTTAAACTTTAAAACATGCTTAAAACATTAGCACTCTTGCAATATTTTGTTTATTTAACAGTATCTGATAACTGACACCTCTTGCTCTGAATTATTGCATCAAAATGTATGTGCTGTTGCAATCTTGAGTATGCTAGCAGCCAAAAAAAGAGGGGGGGGGAAGCCAGCAGGCCCGTAGCTAACATGGGGCCCACGGGGCCCGGCCCCCTTGTGTTTCTTCTGGGCCCCCTCCCTCCAGGGCTGCCCCCAAAGTGCTCCAACTTACCACCTGCACTGTACTTCCATTTAATTAGCTGGCGGGCCCCCCCAAGGCCCCCTCCCAAAGAATTCCCTAGCTACGGGGCTGGAAGCCAGTGTACAATGCAGGAAACAAAAAAGAACACCAAGCAATATCAAAGTCCAAATTGGAGTGCAATTCATCAATTCATCAAATTTTCTGAGCCATAAAAAGCCGACGCGTAATCTGGATGCCTGTTGCCGCGTTTCGAATAATTCTTATTCAAGCATGGCTGTAATGGGACCCAGTCTCAAAAGCTGGCATACACTAAGCCAGAATGGTCAGTCAAGGAGGATTAACACGGCTTTTTATGGCTCAAAAAATTTGATGAATTGCACTCCAATTTGGACTCCAATTTGGACTTTGATATTGCTTCTATGCTGGAGTAGACACATGGAAAGACTGTGACTTGTTTCAATTATGATTTATTATTGCACTTTGGCCTATTGATTTATATCATACTTGTTATGTTTATTTGATTTATATTATACTTGCTGTTATGCTTATTTGATCATTATATACTTGCTTACTTGCTTGTGCGTTATTATTTTTTGCCAGTGGTGTTCTTTTTTGTTTCCTATCTTGAGTATGCTGTTCAGGTGTGTATCTGTAAGCTGCAAACCTACGATGACATAGCAGCAGCGGAACTGGAAGAAGAAGCAGAAGACAGCCAGTTCCACTGCGGGCCTGATAGAAGCCCTCCGAGGGCCTGTTCCAGCTGCATGTTTGACACCCCTGATCTATTGTGTAGCCTATTACTATGGTTAAAAAAAAGAATCACACCATGATAAAAAAAAACAAAAAACAGAACTTCTGGAGTCAGCCTGTCATATCCTAGTCTTTAAAAAAACACCCAAGGCACCATTATGGTCTCTTGGATTTTGCAGTCTGTTCTGGGAAGAAACTTTCTCATACACAAGTTCTATAAACTACCTCATCATGACTTAGCCTAGAAAAAGAAAGTGGTCATGTGCATGGAGGCCCATGTACGTGCAAGTCCTAAAGCCTGATGTGGCTCAAACTGCTGCTCATATTTCTTTTGTAGGTGTCTTGCACTGACTTGGGTTCCACTGGGAGCCATCTGGGCGATCCTGTTTTGTGTTACTTCAGCTACAGGGTGTACAGTGCAGATTATCATCTATTGCGTTGCAACAGCCCCATGTTCATAGGAGGGAAGATGCATAAGCACAAAAGTTGACTGAAGGGTGTGCTAACTTTCTCCAACTGGAAGTTTCATAACAAGTGATTGACACCCCTGGATTTTAAAATATTTGTGCTAGAGTTTCTGGCCACAAGCTTGATAGGCAGTTTCAGCACTTATAAGGAACACAATGTCCTGTTCTGTGACAGACAGTGAATCCAACCAGCTTTTTTCACTCAACTAATTTCCCTTCTGACTACTGTTCCCATCCCACATGGCTTTTGTCCATGCAAGTCCCATGATGGAAACCACTAATGGAAAAGCTGGTTGGCTCAAACCCATAGCACAGAAATTGGTGAACTCTTAACTTAATATGTTACTGCTAGCCTTAGAACAACATTTAAAGTTAACCTCCATGTTCAGAAAAAACAAACCACAAGCCACAGTCCTGCCCGTATTAGGTCAGACTGCAGAGAGAGGAATGCATCTTTGCTTTCCTATGGCCCTGGTCACACGGAATGTTTGCCACGCTGAAAGCACGATTATCCCGCGGAGTTTTCTGGCACGATCACACCGGAACATCGGGGAGGCGTAGCGCTCCCGTGGCTAACCCGTGGCTTCTCGCCGAAGATGCGGAGTAAAAAATTACCACATATGAGGTACTAGTTTCTGGAAAACGTGGGGCAAGGGTGGGCGTCTGATCGTGTTTCCGCATGAATCCTGTGGCATCAGGCGCTTGTCCATGTCCTGTCGCAAACCAGATGGGTTTTTTTTTTGTAAGTCTCCACAGGATGCGCACAAACTAACGTGCATGCGCAAACTTCGGCGAGAAAAAAAATCCCGTTTGCCACAGAAGCGGCGCCAAGCGATTGCCGGTGTGATCACGCCGCACTGCTTCTTTGGCGCACTGCAGGATAGCCGTGTGATCGGCACCTAACGGCCTAACCATGGGACCTCAATGAGACATGTGATCAGGCTGCTGCGCGTTACTTTCCTCCGAGGCTAACAGCCACGCTCCCCCCCCCCGCATTTTCCGGCCCGTGTGACCGGGACCTATGTTTGTTTTTTAAAACTGTGCATGTATAAAGATATCATAGCAGGGGGGAAGGGTCTAGCTTAGCCTTTCCAATTTGCTTTTTTTGAAATGCACAGCATTTTTAACTAGGGAAGCAGTCAAACAATTAGGGAAGCAGTCAAGCTGGAGTTCCAGAAAGTCATGGTTTTCTGGGAAATAGAGATTAAAAATGTAGTCCTCTCTCCTGTTTGCATCCTGAAAGGATTTGATGACAGGAGGGGAAAAATCTGTAACCCTTCTCTCAGCACACACACACACACACACACAAACACACACACAGAGAGAGAGAGAGAGAGAGAGAGAGAGAGAGAAGAGACTCTTGGCATGGTTTAATTTGAGCCAGGTCACAGCCTCTGAATCTGGAACAGGTGAAATAAGAGAGTGCCTTTGAACATATGCTTAGTGATTCCGCCCTAATCACTGAGTAACTGCAGAATGTCTTCACATGTCTTGGGAATAAGAGGAAGGGTTTTGAGTCTGGAAGTGTGTGCCCTCTGGGTAGATATGGGCCCTTGCACCTTGATTCTAGGAACTCAGCCATGGGTTGAATCTTACTTGGGAATGCAGATCAGTTCCATTGAAGGTAAAGCAATTTTCCACACTGATTTCCTTGAGACATGGATTGCATACCGGACGTTTGGAGCATCGGCTGATTTCTGGAAAAACTACCACCTATTTCTCACTTTTGTATATTTTAATTTCTAGGTTATCAGATTGCAGTTTCTCCTGAGACCAAATATTTTAACGCTGACTGGTTGGGCGACGATATCAATGGTGCAACTCTGGGTATCATTGGAATGGGACATATTGGGTATAAGGTAGCCCAGAGAGCCAAAACTTTTGAAATGAAAATTCTTTACCATAATAGGAACCAGAGGTAAACAGTTCTTTGATCAGATTGCAAATGTGTAACTAGTTTGTACTCATAGTTTGTATTCTTGCTTTAACTTCAATAATTGTTCATTTCTACGTCATCAACAGGCACACAGATGCGTTATGATTTAATTATTCTCCCTTCTGCCTGGAATGTACGCTTCAAATCTAAATTTGTTTATTTGCATTATAGTCCACCTTTCTGACTGACACTCAAGGTGGATTACACAGTGTAAGTCAATGCAATCAATAGGGTGAGAAATCTAATAAGCAAGGTAATAGGACTAAGATTACAGAAATCTGGAACACAGAATATGTATTAGATATGGTATGTTACACAAATCAGAAAAAATGATATATAAGTAGAAAACAATGCAGTGAGAGCAAGATAATACATAGAATATTCTTGTTCCATATTTCCTTTGCATTGTTCTAACCCCCACAATGAAATGGTGGTCTGTTGTCAGTTTCTAAAATCTATAGTTGGCATAACATTTCGGCAGACGACTATGGTTTAGATCCGGTCACCTCCTTGTAACTTGTCTGAGTCTTGTTGAACATTCAGGTCATATTTATATAGGCATACTACAAATGTTTTCAAAGATAAGAGATTCTCAAAGTAACTCTTCAT